TTTTTGCTATTTTAGCTTCAATTTAGTTCAATTGAGAGACAATAGATTAAGATAGTTTAGTCATATTTGACGGAGTCAATATGATAGAATTTTTCTTAATAGTGTTAAGAATAAGGTGGACTTAAATTAACATTGAATAAAATAATAAAAAATATATGAAAATATTTACCTTAAATAAGTGTATAGTGTATAACTGAAATAAATGACGAAGATAGATTTGTATATGAAATAATTGGGACATATGGTTTGGTTTGGTGATAAGACTATTGATTTTTGTTGTATAAAATTTCAAGTAGAGTCGAATTTAGGAATATTTGGAACTAGATTTTATGGAATTTAATAAAAGTGAAGACTACATGCATTATTTGGGAGTTTTTTCTTTTGAAACATAAGTTTTGCTATATCCAGACTTAGACTATTATTTTTTTTAAAAATTTCCCATTGAGTCGAATTTAGGAGTATTTAGAACTGGGTTTTATAGAATGTTCATAAAGTGAAAAGTATATTCTTGATGGAGTTTCAGTGGTTCTTTAAAGTTTCTGATTTTTTACTTTTATGTGAACAAGGAACATCTAGATTTTGATGTTGAATAAGTAGCTACTGTGCATTGTTCTTTAAACAAATTGGGAGAATATAGCAATTTTGAACTTTTTTTTAAAAATTATGTTTTGTAGAAAGAGATAACTGTTATTAATTTCGCGTTTGTGAACTTTTACTCCCACATCACGGCTCGAGATTATGTAACTTCAGGTTAACTTACAGTCATTCATTTCGCTTTTGGACGAGAATAAGAGGAGCCTACGAAGTTGTTTATTGAGAGCCTACTTGGGAAGGTTTCTATCAACTGTCCAAACTCCAGAGTGCTAGATACTTGGTGATATTCTTTAGAGCATACTGAAATGTATTTGTCAAGGTGATCATTGTTTAGCAGAGCCGCAGAGCATCTATTTTTTTAATTTTTCCCCATCTAGTACTATGTTTCTCTTTATATCTTGTGTCATTGTTCATGTTCTTTTTAGCTCTTGGGTACAAGTTTCTACCAACCATTTAAAGTTTCAGGAACTTAATAGTCAATTGCGATAGCATGATGTGTTGGAAAACTCAAACTTGTAGGTTTTCAGTTATCTGCGCAGAACTGTAGATGTTACAATAATTGTTGAATTGGTTGTTTGTTTCTTTGGTTTCTTAGGTTCTATTTTTGAAATCATAAAATTGAAACCCTCCTTTTCCAGGGGATTCCTAAACTTTTTTTTTTTGGCATTTGCTTTATTTTCTTCATGCAGATAACGAATTTGCAATATTGGTAAAAGATGAAACTTCAACTTATCAGCCACCAGTATTGGTAAAAGATGGAACTGCAACTGATCAGCCACCAACTTTGTAAAAGATGGACCTTCAACTGATAAGCCACAACTTTGGTAAAAGGTGGAACTTCAACTGCTCAGCCACCATTGTTCGAGCTTTGGCACTGGCAATCGTGGCTTATGATGGCTCTTAACATATTTTTCCTTCTGGTTGGTCAAGCTGCTGTTCTTCTTCTGCGAAGATCTTATTATGATCATGGTGGAAATAGTAAATGGATGGCCACCCTTGTTCAAACTGCCGCTTTCCCTATCCTTCTAATCCCATATTTTCTTTTCGCCTCCTCCCACGAGCCTTCAAGTGTGTCTCATCCACCTTCTCTTAAAACTGTATCCTTAGTCTACTTCGTTCTTGGTGTTGTCATTGCAGGGAATAACATGCTGTATTCCGTCGGACTACTGTACCTATCAGCATCTACTTATTCTCTCATTTGTGCAACCCAGTTGGCCTTTAATGCAGTTTTCTCTTTCATCATTAATCATCAGAAATTTACTACTCTAATTCTCAATTCTGTTGTTGTGCTTTTATTATCTGCTTCTCTTATTGGTGTCAATGATGATTCTGATGGACCTTCAAGTGTTTCTAAGTCGAAATATATCCTTGGATTTCTGTGTACCCTTGGAGCTTCAGCTCTTTACTCTCTTTTACTTTCCTTAATGCAGCTTTCATTCCAGAAAGTTTTGAAAAAGGAAACTTTTTCTGTGGTTTTGGAAATGCTAATTTATACATCAGCTGTAGCCACATGTGTCTCTGTTGTTGGCCTTTTTGCAAGTGGGGAATGGAGAACGTTACATGGAGAAATGAATGGTTATGGTACGGGGAAAGTTTCTTATGTGATGACATTGGCGTGGACTGCGGTGGCTTGGCAGGTTTGCTCTGTTGGTGTTGTAGGCTTGATTTTTGTGATGTCTTCTCTTTTCTCGATTGTTATTAGTACTCTATCCTTGGCTCTTACTCCTATTGCTGCTGTGATTGTGTTCCATGACAAGATGAATGGGGTAAAGGTAATTGCTTTGCTAATGGCTCTTTGGGGTTTCACCTCTTATATTTATCAGAACCATCTTGATGATATTAAGGAGAAGAAAGCACAAGCTGATGTTAATGGCGCCCCTGATGGTTCTTCTTGTCAATGACTGTGTGGGAGTATTTTGGCATTTTTTTGGTTACTGTTGTATCTATTTTGAAAGTTGTATTATTGATCTGGTGACGATACCTTTTCTGGAACTTTACTGTCCAGTCCCATTAGTATCTTTACCCTGCCTGTCGGTTATGGGATTAATGGTTGTCCTCGGGAAACAAAGACGTTCCATTGTGTCTTACATAGCATCATTGTTGGGTCCATTTTCTATTTGTTGGAGTTGTGATGGGCGTGGTGCTGTTTAGAGAGCAGGTTTATTTGAAGCAACAGGTATACATTACAATCACTCGTTCTGTAGACTCATAGTTGCAACGTAAACGGCAAACACACAACGGGGTTTTATGCAGCTAGAGAGATACAAACTCAGGACATTGCCGGTCTGCAACTCTTCCCTTGTCCCTTGTTTGATTGTTGAACCAACTCATAAGGGTTGAGTAGGTTCTTTTCGTTTTAATTATTGTTTGCACATTTTGTTACAGTGTTGGAGCATATTTGGAAGCAATTTATCGGGAGGACAGCATATAGTTTGAATGGGGAATTCTTGTTGGTTGCCTACAGTTAGTTTGTTGAATCATATTTATGTGTTTGTTTCTTAAAACTTCAATTTTTGTTGTTTTAAGCTATTTAGTGGTTTGATTTTTAGTACACTCAAAGTTCGTATCCGGTGAATGAGATTTTTGCTTATAATTTTTAGAGAGGCTGTTGTACAATATACTTCGAAATGTTTTAAAAATACATTAGACCCCATAATATTCAGTATTAATAGGTATTTTTCTACCATTTAAACATCGGTGGTTGAAATATATATTTCAGTAACGGGTTTCAATTCAACACTAAAAACCAAGTTCAATGATAGAGAACCATGTTTTACCAGTTTTCAGGATTTTTGTTTCGTACATATTGTCATCCACAATAAATCAAGAATACTGATTCAGTACTTAGCACATTTGAAAACGGGTCTTAACTAATATTTGAGTTTTTTTCACAGGTTTTGATCCAACGATTTCAAAGGGCATCCTTGTTTTTCAACCTTGGTTGCGAAATTGATGAATATAATCTCTTTACTTGGGTAGCAATTGCACCCATCTACAGTGATTCAAGTTTGAAAATGAGCAAATTTCTTGTATATCGATCGGAGTCCATTCACATAAATGTGAAAGGTTGAGACGTGTGCGGAACTTTGAATTCTCATTGAGGTGTGCATTGGTCGAATCACAATTATTCGTGAGGTCCAGTGGATTAACTTTATCGAGCTTGCAATCTTGGGGTTACCTCTTTCTTTTTTGACAAAAACCTTGATATTTTTTAGGGGTAGTAATTTTTGGTATAGCATAAAAATACGACTTGAAATTGACACGAAATTAATAGGTTAGGGTTGATCATTTATCGACATGAACCAGTAAATGACACGACCCTTGAACACGAATAATAAATGAATCGAGTTAATGTCAAACACAAATAACACAAAATTGACACAATTAACATATTTAACAAGTAATTATAGGAATAAAATGTCAATTTTTTGTTATTTTTAATCACGTAGTGGCATAATTCTTATACAAAAAAGAAATATTGTTACTCATTTTTGTAATTATATTTATTAAATTAATTTTTAGTTTATAGAAAAAATATGAGTGTACATTCGATTAAGTCATAATGTAATCTTAAACTTACATCATAACGCTAAATATTTGATTCATAGGTTACATGGATCAACACGAACAAAACACAAAAATAAACATGTAAGATTGACACGAATTAGTTAAACTAGTTTGGTTAAGGTTAGCTAGTGATCGACACAAACTCGTAAATAACACGAAAGTAATATGCCTAGCATGGTACGATTATTAGCTCTGATATTTTCGGTAACCAAACTAGGCATTACCCAAAAACAAAACAATTTGAATTCATAGCATTGTCAGCTTGTTGAGTTGAGCTGGTCAAAGCTAAAGCTGAATAAGTAATTATTTTTATAAATATCTTAAAACCAATAAAATATAGAATGCCTAGCTGTTTATACGTTTCCCATTTATTTTATTTTTTTTCTTCAGGAATGTTTGTTTATACGTTTTATCTAATGCAAGAAACGATTTTTTTTAATTCATACAAACTTCTTAGGCTGATATATACATTGTTCAAACGTAAAAATCTCAATTTGTTTCTCAAGTGACATGACCTAATGGATAATATCAAATTTGAATTTTGAAAGAGATTTTTGATTGAGTTGATATATGTTTTTTATTGCTACAATGTATTTAGAATTGCGTCGACTATTTTCTCAAACTCAATGTCTGTCCACCGTAGTTTAGAACATGTTCTCAAAGAGATAATGGTGACTAACCCTTAAGGGGTGTGAAAAGATATTGCACTTATGATTTCTGGGTTATCAAAGGAAAGACACAAACACTGAACCACACTGAACCACCCTCAAGTATTAGAATAACTCCAAGGGGGGTGGCAACCCCATATGCCACCCCAAATTCAAATTTTTGGGCTCTAAAGGGAGTGGCATATGGGGTTGTAAAATAGGATCAAGGCTATTGGGGTGGCATTTTGGGCAACTCTAGAGAGAGAAAGGGAGAGGTTGCAAATTGATTGATGAATATAGATCCGTTAGATGAATATAGATCCAACGATTCATATAGATTAATAAATAAAAATATAAAAATGACACCCCATTTTAGCATCTGCCATTGGAGTAAATATATAATTCAGAGGTGCCAAAATACTGTTTAAGGTTGTAAATGAGTAATTTGACACCCCAAAATGATAACTCTCTTTATAGTTGTTCTTAGTAGATATATGTAATTTACAAGCAATAACATGCATCCCGAGTATACATAGGAATCACGAGTTCAAAAACAGCCTGGTCATGGTGGGGTGCATTGTTTTTTTTTTTTCCTACCATATATTCTCATCCACTACTAGAAAAAAAGGTTTTTATGGCGGTAAAGTGCTGTCATAAAAAGTCTATTTCCCGTCACAAATACTTTTTGTGGCGGCATTGCCTCACCATAATAAATGTGGTCTCAAAAGATTTTTACTGCAGAAACAGTCTGTCTCAAATAGTATTTACGACGGCAAGATCCTGTCGTAAATAAGTTGTCACAAAAATCTGACACTTTTGTTTTTATCACGGCAGCAAAACTGCTGCCTCAAATACCATATTTGACTGTCGTAAAAAATAAAAGATATATTTATGACAGCAACGATGCCGTCACAATTTTTTTTTTAATTATTATGGACTATTCGTAACCAATATTATATACCCGATGCATATATGCACTCTATACAATTTATTTTTTTTTTGGTGGGGGGAGGGGGGAAGGGGACTTGAACCATTGACCTCAAGAAGTCAAAGTTTTCACAATGTAAGGAGTACTATTAGACCAAAGACTCATTTGTATCTATACAACTACCCAATTTAATATATAGATAAACACAAAAATAAATATAATCAACATTTCCAAAAAACATAGTAATATTTTCATATAAAAAAAAAAATAATCCCACAAGTTAAAAAAAATGTAAAATATGCACTTTTATAAAACATAATGATATATGAATACAAGAAATTAATGCAAAAAAGTTGAACATCCTTCTCAAACCATCTACTCTCTTAGTGACATCTGAAAAAAATATAAAATTATTGTTACAATACTGAAATAACATTTATATACATATATACAATAAAGAACTAAAAAAAGTTAGAATATACATCAACAGAGGGCCACGCAATATTTCTCTGAACGACTTGTCAAATTATGTAAATGGTATATAAATGAGTCATATCGTATACATTTCTTCTAACTGATTTTCACTAATACCTGATTCGTTTATAATTGTATCATGACGGGTCCACTCGTTTACTAAACAAGTGGCTTAAGGAAGATTCAAACCTATTAATTTTATGTCGTGTCATATTTTGGCACCCTTAGTTTTGATATAAAAACTTGACTTTGTAAAGTTTAATTTTTTTATCGTTGAATTAGAAATTGTCTTTTGATGTTAAATTACGTAATTTTATAAAATATTACTTGTAACATGAAAAATAGTTGTGGTCATTACAAATTTTTTTTTAGAGATTTTCTTCTTTAAACTAAAAAATATTTTTTGATTTAAAACAACATTTTAATGTTTTATGAAATATTATATACGACAGGAAAAATAGCTGCCATAAATATAATTTTTTTTTTTGAATTTGTAAAATATTATTTGAGACTGGAAAAACAGATGTCTCAAATACAAAAATTTCTTTTTAGTTTATAACACTATTTTCGGCAGAAAAAATAGCTGCCACAAATATTAACACAAACACGTTTTTTGTGACGATAGACACAACCGTCTCAAAAAATTGTCTTAAATACATCTTTAGTGACGACAAACACAGTCGCTATAAAATATTTGTCGCAAAAAACCCTGACATGCAAGGTCATTTTTTGTGTCATGGTACCCAATGTTGGCGTCGGTGAGTATGTCATGCCATGTCAATTATGGCTTTCTTCCTTGTCATTACAGAACTTGGTTTCAAGAGGAATGGAGGTACTCCAAAATTTCCTTCTGATGAACATGACAATCGTACTTTACTAGAGTTTGTAAGCCTTAAAATTTAATGTATTAACAGGCTTAAATCAGGAGTAGCTTAAAAATTTATGAGTTAACAGCCTAAAATCAGGAGCAGATATTATGGGTAGCTACAAAGCAAATGTTCAATTGCTAAACTGAGCAGGCTAAGCATGAACCGTTTCGGTCGATTCATGTAGACAAAAGGATAAAGTAAAAGGATTTTGGAAGGTGTTGTTGTTTTTTATTAAAGATCATTAGGCTCGAGTGTGTGAAGAGTGTTGATGCACTGTGGCACTTTATCATTGCACATTATTTCCTTGATTTTTGCAAGTTTTATTCAGTTTCTTTTCTTTTGTTTTTTCCTCTTTGCTTTTTGTATCTTATAGAGGACTTCTTGTTCTCTCATTGACTTTTTGCCTTTGACACATTGATATTTCTAATACTACAATTTCGTTTACTATAAACAAAAAAAAAAAAAAAATAGAGTAGACAAATAACTTGCAGATGTCAGAAAGAATGGGGGTTGGGGGAGTGTGTAGGCTATTGGTTAACGTACATCGTGGTCAGTTCTTGTGAAATCACTTTAGGAAATCAAGATTTATTAAATCATATCGTGAGAGATATATGTGTCAGAATTTAGAATCTTTTCATTTAGTGAGAGATTTATGGATCATAATGGAATTTTCATACCTTACTGCTGTTGCTGGACATGCATGAATTGGAACTGCCCACAATCGTGACCCAGCTGCCTGGAAAGGGCTTATTACTAACCACTGTGCATCCTAGTGGCCAAGAAATTGTTATTGGTGAAACTATGCTGGTCATCTATTCTTAACCTTCGAGCATATTGTGTATTCTCAATGTTAGGACATGGCTTAAAATTGCACAGGTCGCTTCTGCATGGGGTTGACCTTATTGTATGTTTTTTCCCGTTAGGCTCACTATTGGCATCTGCGGTTTATTTGTAGGCAAGTCTCGACAGAGGAAGGAGAAGCCAAAGCTCATGACCTAAATGTTTTGTTTATTGAAACCAGTGCCAAGGCCGGCTTCAATATAAAGGTAAGCTGACATGGTCTTTCCTGAGATTTCCCATTTCCTAGAAATAATTTTGGCTCCAGGTAATGGAACGACTATGTGCATAAAGTGGTGAGCTTCATCAGCTCTCTCTCTCTCTCTCTCTCTCGTGTGGGTGAGGTTGAGTTGTTTTTTTTTGTTGGGGGTTGGTTTAGGGGGGTGGGGGGAGGTTAAGTATTTTCAATGATGTATATGATGTGGCCCCTGGCGTAAGAAGGGACCATTGCCAAGTCTATTAGGGACCATATTTTGTGAATAATGCTATCCTCAATGAACAAGAACAAAAGTTTTCCAAAGATTTATTGTATCTTTTTCCCTGATTGGTCTGTGTTGAGCTTGAATTGCACTCTAGACAAATGACCTACCCTTATAATTGGCAGAAGTTGATGATGCTACTCATATTACTATATAATTAAATTTATTGTCAATTTCACCCTTATTTGAAGTTTATTTCCCTCTTTTTCTCCTTCCTGGGTCTGGCTTCGTCTCAACTCTGCTGCCATGGCATCCCACCTCCGTGCATCACCATCATGGGGCTGCTTGCTGTTGCCACTGCATTTTCTCCATAACCTCCATTTTGGTCTACGCCTCCCTCCATTGAAACCTCAGGTGTATAGTTACTTTCCACCTGCATGCTCAACTCACCCACCATGCATACATCTGTGTGTGTGTGTATATCCCGGGAACCTAACCCGCAACTTCCATAACTTCTTGCCCCAGCACGATCGAACCCCACCATAATTAACTCTTCCAACTCGAATAATTGTCTTTTAAAAGAAAAAAATTGTCTTGCATTAGTTGACAAATAATCTTTGCAGGCACTATTCCGGAAAATTGCGGCAGCCTTGCCCGGCATGGAAACACTATCTTCAGCAAAGCAAGAAGACGTGGTTGACGTCAATCTCAAATCTAGTAATTCAAATGCATCTCAGTCACAACAAACGTCAGGAGGATGTGCCTTGATGATGCACAAAATGGGAGCTTTTGACCCAACTTTAATTAGGCAATGAAGAAAAAAGTTGTTGGACCACATAATATTTGAAACTCACATTCTTGTATAAAGATCATACATATTGCACAATACTTTGCCTCAAATGAGATATGTGAGAGGTAAGTTTAGGTTTTGTTCTCCAATATTTGATGACAACACTACTGTATCATCTTCGCCTAAAAATCTAAACTTAGAAAAATTTCCATTAAAGCCAACACTAAAATGGTAAGGTTTGTTGCAACTTAAATACAATATCCATATAGAAAGCATTGTAGTGAAGGTATAAGAATAGGAAAACAACTAATTTACCCTTATGCTTTTCTAGATCTGGGATGGATTTGGAGTGGGCTAGTTCTGATGAAAAACAATAGAACAATAACTGATTTATGAGGCTTTTTAAGACACCCTTTTTTGATGTGAGGATTGATATCGTTCACCTAAACCATCAACCTATAAAGTATGAGAATTAAGATGGTTGAAGATCATAATCGTTATTAGCCTATAAATCTTCTAATGACTACATAATATATCAATCTATAAAAGAAAAATCGCTTTTCAGGGTTAAGGTGTTCAAGAAGTAACTTTTAAGTTATGAACATAGGAGTGCATATAAAAGTTGATATTTTTCTATCATCCTAAACTATATAGAATCTAACTTAACATTGGAGAGGCTTAGGCCAGCACCCAAGATTGTCGACGACCATTTTTTTTGCATTAAAAATCTTCAAATAAGCCATGTCCGTATCGACTGACACTCATAAATAAAACTTGCTAACAATTTTTTTTTTCAATGGATAAATATTGTAGGGTTAATAGTATTTTTTTTTTTCAATGCTTCTTTTACCTATTGGTTTATTACACGTATCTGCCCCTTACCCCTTACCTTGCTAACACTCCTGGTTACTTTTGGCCATTTGATTGTACTTGACAAATTTGACAGAATCTCCTCATATGGACTAATAAATTTTAAATGTTTCAGTCATTCTTTTCCTGAATTTTGGAATAGTCAATTATTCTGGGTACATTTGTTTGTACTTCACATAATTAACCCTATTTATAAATTTTTTTTGAATGATTCGAAATATCATGCATTACACCTATTTCATCTTTGGGAGAGTTGGAGAAATGATTGTGACAAAGCTATAATTCCAATTTACAAGAATAAAAAAATACATATTAACGATATTTCATGTCTATCTCTCTCAATCTTAATCGAAGTTCAGTAGTTATATCTCTTAGGCATCGAATACCACATTTACTTCAAAATAAGCTTGATGATTTTGAATCAAGCAAGTGACTCTAGGATTATCATCCTTCAATTGGATACTCTTGATTGTCTTCTTGATAACATGTTTCACTTATGATTCAATAAATGATAACATGTTAGGAGAAACCCTTTTTTTGGGGATTATTTTTTCAAACTTTCATATAAAGGTTGTACCTTCATCTTTCTTAGTATCATACAAGTACACTTCATCCTTGTAGGTTTCTTAATTGATAAATTCTTTTAGGTCGCATGCGGTGGATTCAAATGGGACTTTCATTAACCGTTGATCTGTTATTCTTCAAGTGTTAATCGTTTTTATTTATTCCTAGGTTCTTATAAATTCAGAACTTATTCCACAACCGAAAGTAATTGAAATGGTGGGAAAACAAGTTACTGTTTTGCTATATTGGGGTGGACGAATGGTAAATGGATTGGAGAGTTTATCATACAGTTGTCCTCCCAAAGGTGGAATTGTTATCAATAGTGCTACACAACTGCCGGAGTTGTTGAGTAAAATTTACACTGTAATGGGGTTGGACAGGGCGCATAACAAGTTAAAGTTGACTTGTAGATATCCAATTACAGTTGAAACAGGACAAGGACCAAACATAAATACATATGTCGGTTTGGAAATTGTCAACGATGAACTAGTGACTTTTATGGTTAATGTGGTACTTGACAACCCCAGCATTGCTAGTGTTGCTTTGTCCGTGGAGACGGAGAACATCAATGCTGACATAGGCAGCAGTCAAACCGGAGAGTGCATAACAACAACTGTTATGTCTTACACTGAGTTGCTTAAGCGAGAGATGGGTTCATTGACATTTTCAACTTCCGGAGTGACGGGTGAATGTTCAACTCCCGTTGGGATGTAGGTAATGGATGAGTCTGGGTAGTACTTTTACATCCAACAAAGAACTGGAACCACTACATACGGTGGGAACTCAACCAACAATTCATTGAGTTAAAATTTTGAAATGGGTGAGGCGGGAATTCAGTTGGGTGAACAAGATGATGTCCATCAACTTATAATGCAGCAATGCCCAATTCGAGAATATGGAGAAATGTGTGCTAATGATCGGACAGATGTCTGATGATGACGACGAAGAAGAAGAGTTGGAGGAAGTAATGATTGATGACCCAGATGACGAAGATGAGAATGGTGAAGATGCATAAGCCTTACTCTACCTCATTCACAACCACTGAATTTGGTCAGTATACTGAAGCAGATAGCTTTGTATCGTCAGTTGAACAGAATTTGTGGGATCCGGTGAAGATGGAGTTGGCGAAGGGTATGATTTTTAAGGATAAAGCTTCATTGATTATAATTGTTAAATAGTATTCAATCAAGTTGAATCAGGATTTTATAGTGGTCGAGACGAGCACAATTGTGTGGGCTGTACAGTGCATCATGTACATGCAGCCTAACTACACTTTAAGACTGTGTGCTTATTTTAGGAAAAAATTAAAAATATTTTAGATCATGAAATTTGATGGACCACATACCTGCTTCTACCCTAAGATGAGTCGTGACCATCAATAGTTAGACTCTGGCTTCATTTGTCATCATATACTGGGACTTGTGGGTGATACACCACAAATCAAAATGTCAACAATTCAGAAGAATATAAAAGAGAAGTTCAAGTTTGATATTTCCTATAAGAAAACATGGATTATAAGAAACAAAATAATTGCTAAGATTTTCGGTGATTGAGACTAGTCATATGACATGTTGCCGAAGTTTTTGGGTGCCATCAAGAAGTATAACCCTGGCTCAATTGTGAAGTGACAGTACACTTCTGAAACTCCTGAATATAATATTTTTTATGAGTATTTTGGGCATTCAAGGCTAGCATTAAAGAGTTTAAATATTGTCGATCTATTGTCAGTATTGATGGGACATTTCTGCGTGGAAAGTACAAGGGAAAACTGTTAGTTATCACTGCTTTTGATTCTAATAAGCAGTTGTTTTCCATTTCATTTGCTATTGTGGAAGAGGAGAATACGTTAAGTTGAGCTTTTTTCCTATATTACCTTCGGTGAATTGTTCTTAGACATCGGGAAGGGATATATTTAATTTCTGATAGGCACAAGGGGATCCTTGCTACTGTGAATAAGGAAGATCCTGGGTGGCATCCACCGCATGGTTATCATCGCTTTTGTCTTCAGCATGTTCCTAGTAATTTTAATATAGAGTTTAAGGATGCGCATTTGTACGATCTTAAGTGGAGGGCTGGAAAAGCTAGACAGATTCGCAAGTTCGATGACTTGATGACCTAGATATGTAATGTCAAAGAGGAAACGTATATATACTTGACTAAAATACCATTGGACAAGTGGACATTAGCCCATGATGGTGGACAATGATATGACATAATGACAACCAATATTTTGGAGGTTTTTAATAATGTTCTCCAAGGTGCTAGGTATTTTTCCATAACTACTTGTGTGCAGTTGATATTTTATTGGGTCACTAAGTATCATTTTGAACGTCGAGACCAATTGGCAAAATGGAAAGAAAATGGGATGGAGTTTCCTAAGCGTGTTATGGAACGATTAAAACATGCACAACAAATGAGTTGTGTCCACGACGTGACGCCATTTCATAGGGAGCGTGGTCTTGCTGAAGTGTCAACTGTCGGTGGTCATAAGCAAGTTGTGTGTTTGAAGATCGTTCATGCACATACAGAAAATGGACAATTTACAGAATTCTTTGCTCGTATGTGTTGGTTGTATGCTCTTATCTTCAGTTGCATTTTCAGCCCTACATAGATACCATATTCACTATCGACACTTTGGAGAAAATTTGGGCTCCTGAAATGTTTCCTCTAGAGGATGAGCATTACTAGGATGATCCCCCACGGGCCAAATTAGTCCCTAATCGTAACCAACGATGAAACTTGATTAGTCGGCCACGGACGATGCGCATACGAAATGAGATGAGCTTCTCGCTAGAGAGTCGTAATCAGATACATTATGGGTTATGCGGCGAACTGGGTCACAATCGTCGGAAGTGTACATCTATAAATATGCGAGCTCCAGCATCCCTTCAATAGATTGTATTTTATTATTTTGTGAACTTGAAATGTTGTTGTATGTTATAATCATTTGTGTATTGGACCTGTCGATGTGCTTATGTTGTAGCCTCATGTTGGTATAATGTATTGTATTTACATGTTTGTTGTAATGATTTGTTTGATAGTTGATGGTGAATGTTGTTTTTGTAGATTCATATAGTTATTCATTATGGACACTGATGGACAGCGGTTAGTACATCCTTGTCCATAGAACCACTCCGTTCTTGTGTTACAGTCTAATCATCGATCAGAGCACATCTGACAGAGCATAGATCTGCCTCCGTTGCACTGTAGGCGTAGTGATCGCACTGCACGACAATTACATGTCACAGATGAGCGTGTACTCTGTCATTTTGTTACAGTCGGCTTTTACAGGGCACACAAGATTGCGTCCAAGCGGTTGGACCATGCACTCATCACAGCGCTTGTCGAGAGATGGCGTGTCGAGACGCATACTTTTCATCTTCCGGTGGGAGAGGCTACGATCACTTTTCAGGATGTTGCTGTTCACATAGGCCTACCGATTGATGGTATGACAGTGTTTGAGAGAGATAGTTGTCCGACAGACACGACATGGCCAACATTATGCCAGCAGTTGCTCGATTTTACACTGGCCGAGGGGACTATTGACGGGTCTTCCCTCAGGCTTTCTGCATTGCGAGGGCATTTGGATGG